CTCCTCCTCTTCTTCTTCCTCCTCCTCCTCTTCCTCCTCCTCCTCCTCCTCCTCCTTCTCTCTCTCTCTCTCTCTTACACACACACATCAGATTAATTTTCTTAAAACTTGAACAACTGTTTCTACAAGTAACAAATGGATGTTAAAATAAAACCTCAGAAGCAACTGATGATACAGTGTATTAGGCATATGTGAACTCACAGTGGCAATTTTATACCATGGACATGGAGATCGACATATTCATAGGACACACTTAAGTGTTCCAGATTTTCAGACACTTCACATGGAACTCTGGAATACCAGGGGTTCAGCTCCCAAGAGACCCATCTCCTTTGCCCAGCATCCAAGAGCTTCCATGACCCTCCCCTCCACTAATACACCTGGAGGCTCCACCCTGGCCAGTAAGCATTGTGCTGGCTCTGAGGTAGCATGCACAGTGACCCAATCTGCAATGGGAGCAGCAAGCCCAGGGCCTTCAGCACCAAGCCCTCCTTAGACACCCACTGCAAAGTGGCCATTGCTGGGAGCTGGGCATCTCTGCTCACACTATTGACACTGCTCACTCTAGGGCCATTTCCACCCAGGCTGGGACCTCAAGGGGCAAGTTCTCATCTGATCCCCTCCTCCTGAGGCCCCTAGCTGGAGACCTGAGTGCCTGTGCAGAGGCGGAACTACAGGTGCAGTCTACTCAGACCTAGGCCCTGGCAACCTACCCCCAGAGTACATGGAGGGTCAGGGTGGAAAATCCCACCTAAAGGCCACTGCACATACCACAGAAATATTCTAACCAGAACCTGCCTTCTAGTACCCAAGTAGTGCAGGTCCACACCAGCCTCTGGCCAGTCACTGACCCCAGAAATCTAGACACTGCTAAAGGCCAGTTCCCCCCATGCAATGTGAGCTCCCAAACAGAGGCTGAGCAGCCTGAACCAGACTTCACCCAAATACATACCCACACAGGGACAACTGAACCAGGGTTAATCTATAACCCAAGTGGTCAGGCCTAGGTGAAGCAGCAATGCTAGACTGGTGAACACAGAGAGTGTTGGGGGCAGGAAGGGGCTGCTGGCCATTCCAGCTCACAGATGAGGCCCTAGGCGATAGTGAACCGTCAGGAACAATACCTCAGTGTCCAAGTTAATGTCATTGGACAGAAGGGAGAGGACATAACTCAGAGCAAACTCGACCGGGTTCCAAAGAAGGGAGGAGTGCAAGACAGGTGCAGCTGGCAGGCTAAAGCAATGTTTTTCCAGTTCTTTCCGGTTCTGGAGTACAAGTGGGACCTCACCCCAATACCACGTCCTAGCGGCAGGTGGAGGCATAGCTATCAAGCCAGAGGACGCTCGGGAGCGCACGCACTTGGGGCGAGGGGAGGCACCGACGCCTGCAACTCCATTTCCTCGCGCACTCGCACCTATGTTCACACTGGGTTCGCTGCGCTGCCCGGGGGCTCACCTGGCTGCGGCCGGACAACGAGAAGGTGGCGTGGCTGGAGAAGCGAGCGGTGCCCAAGCGGGGCGCGCGGTCCGGAAGTGAGGACGCGGGCGGGGGGCTGGGAGTGCCTGGTGCAGGGGACACACCAGTCGCCAAACCCAGTGCCTCCACCTGGCGCGTCAAGCGTTCGAGCTGCGCCTGCAGCCGCTGGTTATCACGCTGCAGCTCGGCCACGGTGCGTGCCAGGGGGCCGGCCAGGCGCAGCGCCTCGGCCACGCGCCGCTCCACACCGCGCTGCAGCCCCTGCATGTCCTCGTGCAGCGCGCGCACCGCGTCTTCCAGCGCCGCCTCGTAGCGGCCCAGCGCCTCGCGCACTGTGTGCGCCTCCTCGGCGTCGGGGGTCGGCTCCATGATGGAGTAGGACGCACGGATCTGAGAGCTGGCAGGATACCGGAGATCCGAGACCTGCAGCTCACTGCAGCGACTGGCCGACCCCGGCTGGCTGAGCCCGAGGGGCGGCCGGAGGGGCGGGCACGGCGCGGGGCGGAGCGGGCCCCGGGAGCCCGGGGACTGGGCGCCGCGCGGGGGGCGGGACAGAGGGGGCGGGCCGCCGGCTCCGGGACACCCGGCCTTTGGGGACTCGCGGGGCTGTTGCAGGATGCCGGGCCCTCTAGACACGGTTGGAGAACTCGCCCTCCCTCTCTTCCCCAGGGTTGCAGATCCTTAAGGGAGTGAGGAGTCCCACACCCGGTTGACCCTGGAGGAGTAGCTTGTGGCCTGGGAGAGAGACTGGGACGCACCGAAAGAAGGCCCTGGTTCTCAAATGGACGTTATTCTGGGACCACAGTCGAGGGCTATGCATTCCTTCGAGGCTCTCATCTGCAGGACATGGATTCTGCTTTGGGTGGGGACTCACCTCTGGTCAGGGAGCCCAATGAACAGCCCCTCTCCAGTACTGCCGCTCTGACCTTCACCCAGTACGCATCGCCAGTTGCCACCCGGTGCCATCCGGTTCGCACATACTCACCTGTGAGACTTTGTGCCTGGAATTTCTTGCATCTGTTCTGAGATCTCAAGGAGAGGGAGACAGAGATGGTGAAATTCCCTCCCCTTTCCCCAGTCCTACTCAGTGTAGCAAGATCTTTGTGCTCTTCCCTCAGGTGACCAGTAAGGGCTTCAGACTGACAAAGGGGCCCCTGTTTGGGGATGGAGGAGAGGCTGAGGGCAGAAAGGAAGAAGGTATGCTTGGGACAGAATTTCCAAAATCCTGCCCTGGGCAGCTTTGTGACCAAAGACCAGGTCCCCCCCCCCACCCCCCAGTTTCCCCCACCCCCGCAGAAGCTCAGTCACTGACCTCTGCCCACATGCCAACCTCCGCCTTGTGTTCCCACCAACACTCCTCTCATTCCTATTTCAGACAGTCCCCTTACAAACACCAAACATACAAGAAAAAAAGGATGGAGAAACATTGCATGGGATGATAGTATGAGGGACACTAAAATGAGGGGGCTGGGGAGATAGCTCAGCAGTTAAAAGCACTGTCTGCCCTTGCAAAATACCTGGGTTCGTTTCCCAGTACCACATGTCGGCTCCCAACCATCTGCAACTCCAGTTTCAGGGAATCTAATGCCCTCTTCTAGCCTCCACAGACATCAGGCCCGCACATGGTACACATACATACATGCAAGCAAAACACTCATACACATAAAAATGAAACTATATCATTCTTTGTGCACAAAGGCTCTCCTAATTAGCTTTCTCTGAGCTCGCGTTGTGGAAGTGAACCAGTGAATGAACCACAGGAAGAAGGCTGAAAGGCTTGTTCCCAGACCATCATAAGACCAGCCTTTCTTTCCCCCTCAGGAGCTGGGTCAGCCTAACAGATGCTAACCGCTGATCCCCTCCCCTTAGTGGGGACAGGAAGGAACACTGGGTTACCTAATCCAAGGAGCTTTCCAGCAATTATTTCATGAGAAAGTCAAGTGCCAAAAGGCGTGCATGTTGCATGTCTGTGTGTGTGTGTGTTCCAAGTAGCCGTCTGGACAGGGTGAGCCAAACCACTCCTTACATTCTTTCTCCATGTGGAATCTTTGACAGAAACCTCAAGAGAGGCCACTGCAGCAGCTTATGTCCCAAACAGTGCTGGTCACCCTACAGATCTAAGCCTGGAGCCTGAGAACCCGAGTCCCTTCCCTTGCAGTACCCAAGAAAAGAGAGGAGGTCTTAGGGGGGCCTGGACAGGTTAGTCCCTGGCACACTGTTGTTGGGCACCTGGGCAGCAGCGTAGACAGGGTTGGGGGTGAAAGGTGATCAGAGGTCCAGCCTTCTCTCTTACTCTCCAGGAGAAAGTGGCTGGGTCTCTAGGGGTAAGAACCTCAGTGAGGAGGAGGTAACAGACATAGAGCTAAGGACCCAGGCATACTCTCCAACTTCAGCTGCGTTATCTGGTCCCTTCTGAGCCATTGTAAGAAGATCTAAGATTTGCTGCTGGGGGAAGCAAATCAAGGCTCCTGGGTCAGAAGAAGGGGCTCTGTCAAAAGCAGAAATTAGCACTCACTGTGAATAAAGGGTATAGGATTCAAACCACCACCAACCGAGTCTCCCCCACCCCCACCCCAGTCAAACCACTAAGTAGTTAGAAATGAGCCTGAGATGCTAACAGGGTGAGGGTAGAAGGTGGGGGAAAGAAAGGAGAGAGAAGGGAATCTGGAACAAAGATGGAGGACCAGTATCACCCTAGGACCTGGCTCCAAGAAAGATGAGAGAGGTGAAGCTCTGCTCCCAGGTCTGGGCCCCTCCCAACCCCTCCTTGAAAGCCCTTCTTCCACCCTCCTCCGGACAGCTTCTGGCCTGTACCAGGCTGTAAGGGAGGTGAGGGCAGACCAGTCTGCCTGAACTCCTCCACATTCACCAGCCCTGATGTCAGAGCTAGTGGAGGCCGACCTCCCACCCAGTGCTTTGGTGCCTGCCCTCCAGCTCCCCTTCACCTGATGTTGACCCGGCTGCCTGCTGGTCCCTCACTCAGCTTGGGTTCTAGACTGTATTAAGGTTCCCCCTGTAAGGCACCTCATAAAATCAAATCCTTTCCAGGCCCAAACAACAAAGTTAGGGAAGTTAGAGTCACAGACCTGATGATATAGGGGAAAGCCCTGATAGGGGCAAGGACTGGCTCAAAGCCGCTCAGCAAGACATGCAAAGACAGAACTAGTACTAAAGGCCCTGGCCCCACATTAAAGTACTTCATTTTTCTCACCTCTCAGGGCAACAGTTAGATTTAGCCCATTCTGAGTGACTCTTTTCTCCCCAGGTTGGCTAGAAGCTCAACTCCCCTGGAATCGCTCTTCCACAGTTTCCTTTAGGCTCTGCCCTCTCACCCCTCCACCCTAGCTTCCATATATATGGTGCACATATGAACACACAGGCATCAGATGACACCTACAAAGAGAGGGGCTATCTATCTTCCAACCTTTCATCTGTCCCCACACTTGATGCAGCAATTGCCATAAGTGCTCCAAAAGCATTGGGTGACTGGGTGTCTGGGAAGACAGGACTTACTGAAGAGCTTAGGGGACCAGCAGGACTGTTAGATAGTGGGGGATAAGAGAGGGCGGAAAGAGGCAAAGATGGCTTCTAAATTCCAGTTTGTTGGCTATAGAAGTAGCATTCACTAAAATGAGTCCCAGAAAAAGTGCATTAGAAGGAATTATAGGGGCTCACAGGCTAGTCTTCAAGGTCACATCAGCCTTAGCATTGGATCAAAGGCAGTTGAACAATTTCCTGGGGTTTCTCCAAGCTCTGCTACAGAAGACTCAGACTGGAGGGTCAAGACTCACTCCTAGGAGGCACATCCAGTCAGCCAGGCCCCATTCCTCATGGCCTGAAGTTGTAGATGCCGGGAGGGAGGAATCAGCCTGCTCCAGGGCTAAGCCCATCACTCCTGGCAAACCTACAAACCCTCACGCCTCCTCCTGAATCCCCAAATTCACCCTCTGTTGTTGGAAACAGTTCCTTGTTATGTGATCCATAGGGGTGGAGGGTTGGGCCTTACACTTATCTTTTCCTGCCAGGCTGCTGGGTTCAGGAGCAGAGTGAGATAAGGGGATAGGCAGAGATGGGGGGGTCTGCAGGAGCAGAGGCCCCACTATGGGCAAATCTTAGAGTCCTTAGGTCTCTTCTCCAGGTGGGTCCACTCAGTGCTCAGGAGAGGGACACATGGGACTCTGTCCTCTTCTCAGCCCCTCAGCTCTACCTGCCTAACACAGAGCCATCCTTTCCTTTCCCATCAATCCCCGATTAAACTCCACTCCTCTTTCCTGAGGGGCAGTCTGCTGGACACTCGTGAATTTTTATTAAGATTTATTTTTATTTTTAATTGTGTGTGTGTGTGTGTGTGTGTTTGCGTACATGAGTGCCGTGCCCATGGAGGTCAAAAGAGGGCATCAGATCTCCTGGAGCTGGAGTTACAGGCAGCTGTGAGTTCCTGGGCTTGGGTGCTAGGAATGGAACACAGGCTGTCTGCAAGAGCAGTGTGTGCTCTTACCTGTTGAGCCATCTCTCCAGTCTTTTGTGGACTATTTGTTATTTTGGTTTTGTTTTTTTGTTTTGTTTTTTTATTTTTTTGAGACAGGCTCACTATGTAGCTCTGGCTGGCCTGGAACTGACTATGTAGACCATGCTAGCCTCCAATTCACAGAAATCCACCTACCTCAGCCTCCTGAGTGCTGGAATTAAAGGCATGAGCCACCACACCCGGCCCTTGTGGACATTTTTAATTGTTCATCTTTTTCCCATATATCTGAAAATGTGTTAATCTACAATGACAAATGGGTACAGGAAAAAGAATATAATTAAGGAGTCTACTATCCACAGACATGCCTGCATATATATGTGGTATGTGGATATGTATACATTTATAAGGATGTACTTTTATAGGAGGGATTTTTATCATGTTTAAGTGGTCAAGGTAGGTTAATATGCACATATATATAGGTAGGTCTGCAGTGCATGAACCAGTATAGACATTAGATGTGAAGACACACATGGCCTATATTGCCCACATGCTTAGATTTACATTTCTTACATGCTTGCATAAATATCATTGTGTGAGCTTGAGTTTAGACACATATATTACATGTCCTCTTTCTGGCTATGTCTAGAAGACACAGATCCTGAGCGCTATAATGGCCTGCTCTGCAGAGATTCCTGCATATCAAATTCTGAGTGTGACTTTGGTTTGGAGATGGGGTGATGATGGAGAACTGAGCTTCCTGCCTTTCTGGACCAACACTGGGCTTCTTGACCCAGAGCAGGAAGAATTTCCCACAGGCCTCTCCTGAGGCCCATGCTACCCAGAGGACAAACACCACCCATTCCTGCATGAAGTACAAGGACTGCAGTCCTGCTCCCCCCCA